AGGGTCTCTACACACTAAAGGCTAAGTAACCTCACAAATTATATCACTCTATATATAAAAGCAATGTTCCCCTTTTGAAGACAATGCAGCAAGCATCAGATATGATAAAATGAGCTCGCGTGCAACTAGTAGTACTTTTTAGTCGAAAACACTACCCCAGACGACACATTTTTTTCTTGCGTTCAGTAAATATGCTCTCCAATTTGTCGTTGCATTATTTGATTGCGTTCGTTGATTGCGTTATTGCATCTTGCAAAACAACGGTTGAGCGCCAATTGACGACCGTTATATCTCAAAATCGTGCCCATAAACCCCAGACAAGAACGACCCAATTATTTTTCTTGGCTTTGATTGCCGCATCGCCAATGGAATAGCAGGGTTTGAATGGCGTTATAATGACGTCATTTATGCCTGGATACCTTGAAGTAGTCCCCCGAGAGGTCTGCACATCTCCGCGGGCGTGAAGCTCAGAAACTGGAGGGGTTTAGATCTTAAGAAGGCCAGGGCTGTGAACTGCAATGAACGGTCTTCAAGATGTCTATTGCAGTTCAACCCCCCCCCCCACACACACAAATGTAGCATACCCCCTTTAAGCTCTGCTGCCACGCTGTGGATTGCCATCCCAATGGAATGGCTTATCGCACAAGTCCCGCACCTGGTTCCATCTAGCTGCAGCGTTTGAACGAGCAAGCCAAGGACGAACATTGGAAGAAACTGCTGACATGGTTTGCGCATTCCACCAGCGGTTGTGAGCGTCACAGCCGCCCTTTGAACGGCCCGCTAACACACGGGTGAGCGCCACAGTCGCCCCTCGATCGGCCCGCTAACACGCGGGTGAGCGCCACAGCCGCCCCTCGATCGGCCCGCTAACACGCGGGTGAGCGCCACAGTCGCTCCTCGATCGGCCCGCTAACACACGGCGCAGGCGCGTCTCAGCGCTAACGAACGCGGCAGCCGCGTCACGTGGCGGCGCCTCGAAAGCCGGCTGCCGGGCGAACGCCGCCGGCCAAAGCGGGGGCCGTGTCGGCAGCGGGCGCGGCGGCCCCGACCCGGCGCCATGGGCCTGGCGGAGGCGGCACCACTGCCAGCCGCCCGAGCCGAGGCCCCGGCCAAGCCAGGCGCCCGGAGCACCCTGCGCATGCCGCCGGAGGAGAGCTGACCCCCGCGCGGCCGTCATTTTCGGCATTGTGGTCTTGCCTCGGGTCGGCTGCAGCGCCTCCAAGCGTCGTGCGTGGGCGCGATGCGTCCGGCACCGAACGCCGACGTGTGAGGTGGTTACGCGGTGCGCCATACGTTACACTTGCAGAGCCCTCGTAGTGCTCATGTATCTTAGAGGGAGATTTGGTGGTGGCTTAGCTTGGCGTGATCTGCAGTTGTCTGCCGATATATATACATACATATATATATATATATATATATATATATATATATATATATATATATATATATCATCACAATTTTTGCGTGTAGTAAATGTGCTCCTCATTCGTCATTGTTTGACTACGTCATCGTATCTCTAAAAAAAAACAAAAACGATTGAGCGCCTATTGAAGGACGTTGCATTTGAAAATCGTGCTCACAAACGCCTGATATGAATGACTCGACAATTATTTTTCTTGGCCTTGATCGCCGCATCTCCAGTGGGGGGGGGGGGGTGAATGAGGTCATAATGGGGTCATTTATGCATATATATATATATATATATATATATATATATATATATATATATACATGCATATTTTATCTGGCATTCCTTCAGTCGCTTTGTCCAGCGGTAATTTTGCTCTTTCACTGGAGCCGAAGCAACAGCCACCACCAGAAACCATGCCTCTTTTTAAGGTGTTTCTTTTCAAAGCCTTTTATGTAACCTTGAAGTCTTTTGTGATGCATCGCCCGATCTCACTCTCATCTCAAACCTAAAACGCTTCCAGCTTTAGCCGGGCCCGCCTGCCGGACTGGCCTGCGCGTCCGCGTACCGCACGGCTCAGGCGCCGCTTGCCCCATCTTAATTGCCTCCTTTCCTAAACCTAGCTAAGCCTTCTGTTTGTTTCGCCACTCGGCTGATGCTTAGCACGCCGCGAGATAAGGCTTGCGAGCAAGCTCTGGGCGTCTGAGCCGGCCACTCTGCGTAATCGTGGGCCGCGCGAGCGGCGGTCGTGGCGCGCTGGCGGCAGTCGTGGCGCGCTGGCGGCAGTCCTGCGCGGCTGTGCTGCGAGCTGTGCGCGCCATTAGCGGGCCGTCAACGGCTGGTGGCGACCTCGGCCCAGCCCGGCGGCCGGCGCACCGCACGCCGGCCGTGCCCGGGTTATTCCTGACCCGAAATCGGCCCGGAAGCAGTTGGCGTTCGAACGGCCGTGCCGGCGCCAGCGCGCTTTCTGCGCGACCTCGGCCGGCGAGGGTCGTGCCGTGGTAAATCCCGAACAGGCGCCCCGCAGTTGTTTGGCGCCATTTTTCCCGTCCGCTGGCCGATGACGTGTATGGCGCGCCTGTGCCTCGGCGGCCGGGGAGACGTGGGGATCTTCTGCAGCCGAGCGTCGCCGTCGCTGCGGCATGACGTATGGAGGCCGGTGCTAAGCGGTCAGAGTGGAGGCACTTTCACCAGCCCCAAGCTGGAGGTGCCAAGCGGAAGGTGCACGCGCCTCTCCAGCCCCAAGCTTTTTGGCGAAATTGTCGTGTATGTGGAAACTTACATTGCAAACGACACGAACTCCGACAGTGCTCGCCTATTTGCCGGCATTGATGCAAAATACACAAATGCAGCAGAAACCCCTTCAGAAGCAAATTGCTAACCACGTGACTTAGGGTATGTGATCGAGGCCTTTGTTTCGTGTCATCAGGTTGTAGTCCCTGAGGAAGGGAGCTGTTTGGCCGGGCCGCTACGTAGTGGTCAGCTCGCACGTGGATAGAGAGGGTCATGCGGACAGGGGGTGACCGAGCTGAAGCGTAGCACATGAAAAAGGTCCCACGGACCCTCTTCACGGTCCCCTGTGGCGCAAAGATCGGAGACACAATTGTCCCTTGAGCTGGAATTGCACTACTGGGTAGCGGGCTTAGGATACAGGTAACAGGCATTGCTTAACATGTAACATGTAACATGATGCCAAAGTCACCAGCGCAAGACAGTGCAGTAAAAGAAAAAAGGAAAAAGGAAAAAACCGCCAGAGCACAAACTAGGTACTGTCAACATTGAATATACAACTTTTCACGCTGGACTTTGTGGACTGGACTCTCACCTCCGGACTTTGTTGGCATTCGCAGAATAACCCATCAGCCCACAGCACCCCTTCAGAAATTGGCAATTTTATGCAAGGTCATCGTCGATCGACAAACCGAACATAACCTCGCGAAATGTCGCCAGAAAGTCGCCAGTTTGGCGTTTTATCGCCGCTGCCGGGAACTCTGGCGACAACTCGCGCGGTCTTGTGACGTCACGCGGTGTACTGACGTTGGCAGCCGTACCCGATCACCGCGTCCAGACCGCCAGCGGCACTGTTTATTCAGAGGCCCGCAACCGTCAGCAGCAATGGCGCACAACAACAGGCGGCCTGTCTACAAGGGGTCATTCATCTGCCCCGCTTATTTCGATTGGTAATTTCTTAGCCTAGGTGGGGCGGAGGGGAGGACTGGGCAGGTGTCGTGTTTCTCAAGGAACGGCAATGTCATGCGTGTTGAAATATCAAAGGGCTTTGACGTCATCTCACGTAATTAACCCGAGACACTATTACCTTGCGACCTGTGCGGTGAAGGAGCCAGGACTCACCGTCAGGTGTGCAGCCTGTGTCTCTATTAACCCAAGCTGGTGGCTGTTTATTATGTCTTACTGCAGGCTCACAGCATTTTAGCATCCATATGGCAGCAATTTATTCTTGCCGTTTCAAACAGAAGTTTTAGGCGGTACCTGTAGAAGTTTTTGCTATTTGTTCAACCACTGACACTGACGTGCACGAAACCGCCGGACGCTTGCGTCATACGGTCGGCAAAATTTATTGTCACGATGAATATATTTGTGAATCTCAAATCCCAGACGCGCAGAATATGCGCCATGCATGGCGCAGGCTTCTATGCTGTGCCCCCGGTCCAGGGCTTTTTAATATGTTGGGTGGGGCCGGGGGACAATCCTCGCACCTGCTGACTACACCCTCCCACTGACCGGGTACTTCCCCATACAGCCGTTCCCGCCGTTCTAGCCACGTGCTGCCACATGTTGTAACCAATTCGTTTTGTCTCTGTTTCTCATTTTTCATCTCAAGCAAGAGATGGCAGAATCGGCCTAAGTGCCGGGAGAAAATCGTTCTGGGATAGGGTCAGTGAATACATATCTGAGATCTGTCATGTCGTTGGTATATCCCTCCACTCGAAATTCCTTTAAAAAGGCCTTGCCCGGTTAGCGGTCAATAGTCAGTATAACAATAGCTCTGCAGCGAGAAATTGTTCTCATCAGCACAGCAAATGTTTTTTTTTTTTAGGATACCCTGGTTCACCAGCTTTCTTGACGCATTAAGGCATGCACCCAAGCGTGTAATGTGCTATTCAGCTTGGGATGGGGGGGGGGAGGGGGCTCCAGCGCCCAGCTTTGAGTGTGTCAAATCCGGAGAAAAACACGTTCTTGTGTATTTTGGGTATAGGTTTAATCATTTTCCCTGCCATCCCCTGCATATATTGCACCCCTGCACGTACCTCATGCTGAGAGGATTCCTTTGCGATAACCGCGTAATATGACCGATTACCAGGATCATTAAGTTTGGCACGCGCCACTTAATTTCAACTAGTCGATATTGACAGTTCCCCAAAATCGGTTTGCGTTTTAGCATGTTGTCTACACTTCTATTTTTGTTGTACTATTCCAGTGAATAGGGCTGGTTGTGCTGCAAAGTTTGCATTGGCTGTAGAAACTTGAGATGTATCCCGACGAAATCAACGCGAGCCACCAGACCAGATCTGGACAAGCCGCGCCGCATTTTCGGGCGCCGGCCCGTCTGACATCGGCCTGGTGGCCGCAGATCGAGAGCCTGCTCAATAGCTGACAGCTGGGGTCCCTCTCCAAATGGCCTTGACCCCGTGGCGACCGGCGAGACGCCGCTGCGCTGGCAGCAGTGGCGGCCGCGTGCATTGCCGAACAGCCTGGAGCTGCGCATTGTCGGCGGCTCGTCCGGACGCGTGAGCTAATGAGCTAGTGATATAGTGGTCTGGTAATCCAGTGGTCTAGTGATCAAGTGAGCTAGTGATCACTGGACTTCCGTACTGGGCGGTGCCCACCGCTGTGAGCGCGGTAACGACACCGGGCGGCAGATCGCCTGCGTGCCGCTGGCACCGTGTCGCGTAACGTCTGCACACTGGCCGAGTGCCTTCAGGGTACATTAACGCACTGTCCTACGTGACTTATGCATGGGTAACGTCGTTATAAGGCCACTGGCCCCGCTGAGCGGTGCGCTCTCGCTGAACTGGCGTGATGGCCCATTAGCCCCGCTGAGCGGTGCGTTCTCGCTTGACTGGCCCGCCCCGCTGCCCCGCTGCCGCTCACGTTAGCCCCGCTGATGCGGTGCGCTCTCGCTGAGCTGGCGTGATGGCCCATTAGCCCCGCTGAGCGGTGCGCTCTCGCTGGACTGGCCTGATGGCCCATTAGCTCCGCTGAGCGGTGCGCTCTCGCTGAACTGGCGTGATGGCCCATTAGCCCCGCTGAGCGGTGCGCTCTCGCTGGATTGGCCTGATGGCCCATTAGCCCCGCTGAGCGGTGCGCTCTCACTGGACTGGCCTGATGGCCCATTAGTCCCGCTGAGCGGTGCGCCCTCGCTGAAATGGCCTGATGGCCCATTAGCCCCGCTGAGCGGGCGGTGCGCTCTCGCTGGACCGGCTTGATGGCCCGTGGCCGACTGAGCGGTGCGTTCTCGCTGGACCGGCCATTAGCCCCGCTGAGCGGTGCACTCCCGCTGGACTGACCTGATGGCCCGTGGCCGATTTATCGGCTAAGGCGCTTGGAAATCGCGACCGAATTCGTTTTTTGTGTGTGTTTGTGTGTGTATGTGAGGCCTTGGGCCGCGCCGTAACGCACGGTAGACACCGATGATGGTAAATGGGGGGGGGGGGGGGGGGGAAGGGGCACGGGGAGCACTCGCTGCAACCAACGCAGTTGAAGCACGGAGCTATGTTCAGTCCGATTAAGCTGTGGATGGACAGCAACTGTTGTGTTGTGTTCACTATCGCGCGGAACGCAAGCAAGAGAATCCCTTTAAAATGCATTTTCACGTTAAAGACAACATGGGATGTCCATTTGTGAGCGTGCATCCCACCAACCACTGCCCTTCCCGAGAGTTCAGTACACGTCCAGGTCGTAGCCAAAGAGTGTGGGAGGAAGGGGGAGGGGAGTGGGACGAGAAGTGCGGTTACCGCCTCCCTTGAGTAGTTGCGGGACCACGTGAGTCTCTTATATGCGCCCGAAGTGAATTTACGCGTTTAGGTACTGCTCTTTAAAAATTGAAACGCAAGAGTGGCGAATCAGCTTTTATGAGGTTTTCAGAGGCGCCTGGGGATCCTTGGTCGGCCGAGAGACCCTTGCTGCTCCGCAATGTGCAGCAAATAATACGCTTAGCCCGATAAAAAAGTGCCCGTCGGGTCTCAGGAGCTTTCGGACAAGCGTTCGTCGCCGTCCCTCGGCGTGGTCCGGGCCGCGTGACTGGCCGACGCTGCGCGCCACCCCTCTGCCGCGCCGCTGGCAGGCGCCCGCGGCGCGAGAGCCGGCTTTAGCGGCGCGCAGGCACGCTTGTTTGTGAAGCGGCGCTGGCTACTTTATAGGCTCCCGACAGCCGTTCGACGGCCGGCTATGACTTACGGGGCCATTTAATGGAGGTCGCTGGCTGCCTCACCCGTATCCCCCTTCACCCCGCACCACCCCGCCCCGCTTGCGGCCACACTGGGAGGGGCACGGGCGGACCGCGTACGCAGAAGTCGCTGAAGTCACGGAGAGGGCGTGGGGGGGGGGGGGGGGAGAATGCTGTGTGGCGCCGCGTTTGTCAGGACATGTGATACGTCGCGTCCACGTTCCTGGGTGCCTGATTTACATTTTGTTTATCTGTATTTCCATCTGCATCTGTAGCCTTTAATCTGTGCTACGCTGGGTGAATGAGCTAAAGGGCCGCCTTAAACCATCCCACCATTGTAGGTATGAAATATCAATGAATATCGCGCGTGTTGGTGGTGTGCGTCCGTCGATGAAAAGTTTCAGTATCTCATGGATTCGAACCCGCGACCCCGATGCCGCTACCTGCATCTGAGCGGGTCAGTTCATTGGACCATCGCTTGCACACGCCACATTTCAATTTTGAATACCGTAGGACTCTGCAGAGGGGAGGACCGTATCGCACGTGCCTTGCATTCGCCCCCGCCTCCCAGCTATGGGATCCGCGGCAAGAGGAGGGAGGGACAGGGGAAACTTTTACGGGATGAAACATTAGGCCCGCAGCATAGGATGGAAAGAAACGCCTGAAAAGAAGCTCTACGCCGCTCACGCATGCCGCGTGACGGAGACACTGCTGGCCGCCCGCGCGCCGCCTTCCGCTGAAGAGGAGCCGGCGGTGACGGGCACCTCGCCGCCCGCGCGCCTTGCCGCTGAAGAGGAGCCGGCGGTGACGGGCACCTTGCCGCCGCGGCCGTCAATGATTCAGGCGCACCGCGCCGTGCCAGGCCGCCGTCGCCGCGACGGCAGGCCTGTCGTGCCAGCCGCCGCCGGCGGCGCCGATTAGCCGTTGCGGAGCTCGGCGCGCCGGCTGCTCCGCCGCAGCCCGCTCGGCAGCACGTGCGCCGGCGACGCGGCCCGGCGTGTGAGGTGGTGCGCAGGCCCGGCCGGTGCCAGTCTGGTCAGGAGCGGGGTGGCGGGCGCTGGACCGCCGGGCGTGTCATGGCAGGCACGGCGCCCGCCCCCGACTTGGCGGAGAGTGGGGGCAAGCATCATTGATGATGCTACTATTCTGTAAAATGTTGCCAAATGTTTTGGCTGTAAAATGGAGTATTTACGGGCATATGCATCCGGTAGGTGCCTTTAATCATATCTGTGGCTGCGCAGAGCTCAACGCGATCTCATTCGGAGGGAATCACTGCTCATGGAGGCCTAGCTTGGATGATGTTAGTCGACTTCGCGGTGCACTAAGGTCAAAATATGGAGGTGACTTCGGTAGTTTGATGGAACTCGTGCTATACAGCTATATTTGTGTCCGCCACCATCTGCTCCACGTCGTGATCACACAACATCCTCCTCGCCCTGGGCGCGAACTGAAGCGATCAACTGCCTTTCGCCAGGCCCGTGATCTCTTTTCCGTCGTGGGTATCTCACTCGAAACAAACAGGGCGGCCGTGCGTTTGGCAGCAGACCGACGCGGCCGGGCCGCACGCGGTCGCCGCGCCGTGGCAGCCGCGGCCGTACCTCACGCCGCGAACAATATATGGCGGGCGCGGTTGGCGGCGCGCCCGAATAAACCGCGCGGGAACAGCGCGCGGCCCGCTGGGCGGCGGGCGCGCGCCGCCGCCCGACAGGTGGCGCCACGTTGGCGTGGCGGCGTGGGCCGAAACTGACGGGGGCGGAGGCCGCCGGGCGACGGATCGGCGGCCCGGAGCGCTATCACGCGTCACGCGCGGGTGTCATGTCGCCATATGCTCGGGTCCGGTCGGCCTATGGTTGAGGGCTGGTTGACCTCATAGGGCTTGTATGGGGCCACGTTCCTCGTCGTTCGCCTTCATTCGTTATGTTATTTTGGTGTTCTAGAACCACGTTCCAGCCGTTCAAGCGCGGCCGTTAATCTGCTTTAAGACGATGTGTGGTATGCTGTTTTTGCTAAGCGACTGAAGGCCGTTTTTCACCTCGGGAAAGTATATCAGAGCCAGCGGCCGCGAGCACAGTGAGGCACGTTTCGGTGGTGGATGAGGCCGGCGGGGCGACCATTTCGTTCTGGGGCGGTGACGAGAGCTTGGAGACCTGTTAGAAGCTGAAGTGAGCGCGGCGCCATACTTCAGATACAGGTGCTTTCAAAATAGGTGGTTCCGTTAATGACGCTCCTTAGTCTCAAAATCCCAACTCCACCCGTTCGGTCCTGTGCGTCATTCCTGTCCTGTGATCCATTTCAGGTCAGCTGCTGGACGTATGCTGCGCGCTTGCTCATCAGCCCTTCGTAATTCAGCTGAAAAACGTCTCGTGGATCGCAACCGAACCATCATTTTGGATTCGGCTGGTCGTGGATCACACATTAACCCAGGGGTGTCAATTTTTGCAAATTATTGGGGGAGGGGGGCCGAACCGAAGGCTCGACAGCCTACCCCCCGATTTTTCTCACCGGATTAGCCTACTTTATTTTGATTTAACGCAAGGTATGCTTTTAATCTTTGTATAATTTATAAAAGTCTTTAATTTAGGCAATATAGAAGTCATGCAGGGCTGGACCCAGGGAGCAGGCACCGGACGCACGCGTCTCTTCCGATCGGCACGTGAAGGCGCCCCTTTAGAGGCCACCTTTACGGCGCCGATGGCTCTCTTTTTTAGCGGTCATGGGAGGCGGCACGCGTTTTGGTTTTGGAGCACGGGGACGGGTTTAGCCATGAAGGACTTAGGCCATCCCCATATTCCAGAGCTTTTCACTTTAACCTCACAAACCATTGCGTGTCTTATGGCGCCAAGTATGTGAAGTTTATTGCATCGTTTATCCGCTCAGCTGTTACGATATATATGTTGCGGTGAGAGCAACCATGGATTTTTGCTATGAGAGTGGTGCGAAACACCCTCACGGGGGGTGGGAGTTGGGGGGGGGGGAGGGTTAGGGGTGGGGCCCTCACAAAAGAATACAAATCGACACTCGTGTCTGAACCATCCTTTTGGACTCAGCTTGTCGCATTGTGTACCAGCTGCCTCCGTTCACAGATTGTTCTCGAGGACAAGTGTTTTGTGTTTGGAAAGCTCGCAGCGCTCGTGTGCGTGTGAGGCACATTCCAATCCAAGCACAAACACACGTGCACTGCTGCCGCTTCCCTGGCATGTTACTTTGTG